TCGTGGCAGCTTATGTGGTCTGCAACTTGGCAGATACTCATTCCCGTTGTCTTATTTGACTGAGTGGCTGGGAATGCTAAGATGACCCCCTTACTGGAGTCTGCCTTCCACACGAAACACCAAGAAAACCGTGGCGCTTAGGCACAGGTGTGCTTGTCCCAGGGCCCTCCCTGTCCACATTGGCCATAAGTGGAGCCTCCTTGTTTGAACCCGAGGCCCCAGGGTCAGGAGGAGTCCACGCCAGCAGGCAGATGCAGTGCTGCCAGGATGAGCTTCCGGACTGGATTCTGCGCCTGCTGGTCCCGAGCCTCCTTTCTGGCAGCTGCTGGAAGGTGGCCGCGTCCCCTTTCATCTGCAGCTGGAACGAGTGAGAGGGGGCCTTCCTCCCTGCCCACCGTGCCTCCCTGGCATGCTTTGGGGCCACGCTGAGGCAACGGGGTGGCAACAGCACCTCACCTCGTCTGTTTCAGCCGGATGCACGCCGTGTGCTTTTGTTTCCTGTCTCTTGCGTCAGGCTGTTTGTGAGAGCGTCTGAGAGGTGATTAATGGGAGAGAGAGCATATGTTTATGGACTGCCAGTTCCAGCGCAGCTTCCGAAAGCGTTTGGGGGTTGGTAGATTATTTGTTTATTGCCCACAGACCACACATGGTACGCGTACTTCTGTTCCGAGGTCACGTGGGAGCAGGGTCATTAAAGCAAAGTCAACATACAATAAAGCTGGAAACACTGTCCTGCATCCAGGGATCCTGAGCGACTCAGGGTGCTGGGTGGCCGACTGTTCTCGTAAGCAGAGCTGGTGCACCCTGGGCCTCTGTGGAGAAGATCTGATTACATTGTTTGCCACCTTTGTCCCCAGCTTGGCTACACACGGATGTCACTCAGCGCTTGGATGGTTGGAAACCCTTCGTTCCCGTGCAGTTTTTATATGTATTGCACAGAACTTCCGTGTTGATGTTCACACGTGCACGTGTGCGCATACACCGGCCACATACCCTGCACCCCGACAAGATCAGGATCTAGATTTGTGCCCAGGACAATTGAGGGAGGGAGGGAGAGATGCTGGTGTTTGTGACTGCTGTGACTATAAACTGGACCTGGTGTAGTGGTTACGAGTTGGGCTGTGATCCCCGAGGTCAGCAGTTCAAAATCACCAGCTACTCTCCAGGAGAAAGACAGGGCTTTCTACTCCCATACAGAGTTACAGTCTCAGAGACGCACGGGGTGTTCTTCTTTGTCCTGTAGGATCACTATGAGTCAGCAGTTCATTTGGTTTGCTTGTTTGTTTGTTTAAAGCAAAAGCTCTCCACCCCACCCCCAGCCACCCCCAATTGCCTGCTCTTATAGAAATTTTGAGAAATACCAAACCCAAACCAAAGTCAATGCCATCGAGTAGATTCTGCCTGGTGGCATCGTGGTTACAAGTTGGGCTGCTAACCGCAAGGCCAGCAGTTTGAAACCACCGGCTGTTGCTTGGGAGAAAGATGAGGCTTGCTGTCTGCACGGGTGAAAGTTTACAGTCTCAGAATTCCGAGGGGGCAGTCCGACTCTGGCCAGTAGGATCTCTGTGACTCGGAGTCAACTCGATGGCAGTGAGTGTGTTAAGAGCCTTGGTGTCCGAGTGGCTCTTGGGCTGCTAACGTCAAGCTGGACACCACCGCCAGTTGTTCTGTAGGAGAAAGACAGGCTTCCTGCTCCCATGAAGAGTGATAGCCTTGCAAACCCACAGGGCTGGTTCCCCTCTGCCCTCCCGGGTCGCTGTGAGATGAGAAACACCGAAAAGGATCAACAGTCTCACTTCTGACAAAGATAACTCAGTAAGCCCTTTGTCTGCCCATCTGGTTCTCTGTGTGCGCTGAAAGCCCCCAGTTGCAGTCATGCATTGTACATGACACAAAGCCGCACCTCTGCAGTGTCTGCGTTTGTTTTTTGTTTTAGTTAGATATCTTACACATTTATTTCAATTTTTACCAGAGTCAGGATTAACATCAAATTATTAAGGTGCTAATAATTTCAAATAAATAAAACAAAAACCTTTACATCATGATAAAAGGGAAAAGATACTGAAGCTGTTAAGCATTTCATTTTACTTGGATCCATAATCGATAACCATGGAAGCAGCATGCAAGAAGACAAATGATTTATCTCATTAGAGGGGAAAAAGAAACATCTTTGAAGTATTAAAAAGCAGATGTCACTTTGAAGACTGAGGTATACCTAACCCAAGTCCTAGTATTTATTTTATTTTATTGGGGGCTCTTACACCTCTTATCACAAACCATACATATATCCATGTGTCACACACATCTGTACACATGTTGTCATCTTTTTCAAAACATTTTCTTTCTACTTAAGCCCCTGGCTCTTCCTTTTTCCTCCTCTTTCCTCCACACACCCCCTAACAATGCATAAAATTTTTTTTTTCATGTTTAACAGACTATTGTCCCATTTCACCCACCCTTCTGCTGTCTGCCCCCCTGGGATGGGGGCCACATGTCGATCACTGTGATCAGTTCTCCCCCATTTACCTCCCACCCTTACCCTCCTGGTATCACTGCTTCCCTTATTGGTCTTGAGGGGTTTGTCTGTTCTGGATTCCCTGTGTTTTGAACTCTTATCTATACCACTGGTATGATAGAGTCGGGGTCATGGTAGTGGGGGAGGAGGAAGCATTAAAGAACTAGAGGAAGGTTGTGTGTTTCATCAGTGCTATACTGCACCTTGACTGGCTCATCTCTTCCTTATGGTCGTTCTGATGGGGGGTGTCCAATTGACTACTGATGGGCTTTGGTTCTCCACTCTGCCCGCCTCCCTCATTCCCATTGATAAGCTTTTTGTTTGTTTTGTTTTGGGTCTTTGATGCCTGATACCTGATCCCATCGACACCTCATGATCACACAGGCTGGTGTGCTTCTTCCATATGGGCTTTGCTTCTCAGCTAGATAGCCACTTGTTTATCTTCAAGCCTTTAAGACCCCAGGCACTATATCTTTTGATAACTGGGCACCATCAGCTTTCTTCACCACATTTGCTTATGCACAAATTTGTTTTCAGCGATCGTGTTAGTGAAGGTGAGCATCACAGTGCAAATTGTTCTTGCATTGAGGGAGTACTTGAGTGGAGACCCAATATCCATCTGTTACCGTAATACTCTATAAATAAAGTATATATGTACATAGCTCTATTCCCGTCATTATATATAAATGTATTTACATATATACATGCCTGTGTATAGACCACTACAACTGCCTTGTGCCTCCCAGTTCTTTCCTCTATTTCCTTTGACTTTCCTCCCGTCCCATCACCATGTTTGGTCTCCTTTCGGATTTTGGTAATTCCTCTTGGCTACATTGCCCTTGATCAAGCTCCCCCAAAATATCCTTTGCCCTCCTCACCATCAATTTTAGGTCACTTGTTCTTCCCTTGTCCCTGGGTTTGTTGGCAACCCCGTTCCTTTTCCCCCATCTCTCCCTCTCCCGTATCCCCCCCAACTGTTGGTCCCGTTGTACTCTCCTCCGGATTGTTCATCTGCCTATCTTGTCCAGATAGACGTGTATTGACAATACACGCAAAAACAAAGCAGAGCAAAACTTTGAAAAAAGAAGACGATAAATAAATCAACAACAGCTAATACAACAAAACAAAAAAATAAAGAGAAAGAAAAACCAACAGCAAAAACTGAAAAGCCCTCAAGCGGTTCCAGGTCGTCCGTTGACCTTTAGGAGTGTTTTCCAGTTGCGTCCACGGGGTGCCACGCCCCGGCCCCCGGCCCACCTTTGGCATCCCTGGGGACTTCGTTGATTTGCTCCTCTTAGGGCTCACCCCGGTGCGGTGGGGTCAGATGGGACACATCTCCCACACCGTGTCCCCACTGCTGTCCCCCTTAGCACTGTGTCAGTGAGGGACACGTCGTCCTGTCTTGTGAGGGGGCCGGCCCTGTGATCCCCTCTGTGCCTTGACTGCTCTGAGCCGGATATCGTCCTCAGGGCTTGGTGGGCCGGGTGTGTTCCACTCTCTCCTTCCCTCTTCGTTTGCTCCTGTTCAGACGCGCCCCGCTTCCCGAGCTGCAGCTTCAGTGCTGTCCTCAGAAGCGCATTCCTCTGGGGTGGGGGGTCGGGGGTGGTCACCTGCAGTGTTTTCTTCCGGAATAGAAAAGCATGAAGACTTAGATGGCGTTTCAAAGCGGTGGAAGTGGCCACACTATAAGTCAGCCATAGTATTAAGCATGCAGGCCATCCAGGGTGTCCTAGTGGATTATGTGTTAGGCTGCTAACTGCAGGGTCGGTGATTTGAAACCACTAGCCATTCCTCAGGAGAAAGACGAGGCTTTCCTCAGCCTTGGAAACCCACGGGGCAGTTCTCCTCTGTCTTGTGGGTCACTAAGTGTTGGACTAGTCCACCCCATGGCAGTGAGTTTTGAGTCAGTCAGCATCCTAGTACAAAAGCCGGTTTCTATGGCTTATATTATTGTTAAACTAGGTTTTCTAGAAATAGAACTGATAGATCAAAGTGAATCCAAGAAATAAATACTTAAAGGCTCTATAATTTCTACATTGTGACCCCAAAGGTCACCCCATTTACCACCTAAATTCTCATCAGCAAGAAAAATGATGGTTCCTATGCCCTAGTTTCCTGCTGGGAAGAGCTGGTACCACTCCAGGTATCTGACAAGGTGATGATTTAGATTTGTCTGTGCTGGATCAGGTGGTGATGCTGTGACCCACCGTCTGCCAGACTTTCTCCACCGCGAGCCGTGACTCGCCGCACATTTCACGCCAGTTCCCTTCTGCTCACAGCTCGATCCCTGGTCTCCACCACAGCCATGAGCGCTTACAGTTGTGTCTTGGTGCATGTGCATTTCCTGAAGTGCCTTCACCTACACTCTTCCACCCAGGGCGCTCTTGGTTATCAGTACCACCTGTGACTTGGTCCAGGATGCCCCCTAGTCACCCTGCTGTTTTAGAACCTGTCTGATGATGGCTTTGTTGTCTTTTCTTCACAGACCCAGTCCTCCAGGTTCCAACACACGTGGAAGAGTAAGTGTTTTTATTTGCTTCAGCACACCCCTTCAAGGCATCTTAGTCATTCTGTCGAAGCTAGTTGGAAGAGTTCAGATATGCATAAGTGTAGGCATAACACAGTATACGTAGTCTTATCCGTAGTATGTTAGAAGTCTGTGGTGGGGAGGGGTGGTCAGTTCCTTAAGAGAGAGAGAACAACAGTACAAAAAAAACCCTTATTCGACAATAAAATGATTAAAAACAACAACAACCTTATTCGAGATGAAATGTATGCTGAGCTTTGAGCTTAAACTTCCCCTAGCCCCCAAGAGGGGCTGAGTCTTGGCTCACTCTCCCTCGTCACTGTGTAAGACCACGGAGAGGAAGCCAGCGTGGCACCCGTTGGAGTGCGTCAGGAAGTGTGGCCTAAGTAGGGGAACGATTCGGCAAGGGGTTTCTGAGTGATTATTACAGTCCAGACATGAGCAGGTCAGCCCTCCTACAGATGGCCACTTCACCCCTGCTTCACAGGGGCTGCTGACCAGCAGGCCTCGCTCCACCTTCTTGGCAAAGCCTCCCTGATGTTCAGCGTCTCCTCCCACCACCGCCCCCCTTTTTTCCCGGCCTTGAATTTAAAAAGAAATGTCCACTACAAAATGAAAGGTGGGTTTACGCTGCTGTCCTTGCTCTGCTGCGAAGTGTAGCCGTCCTAGGTACATGGAGGCTGCGAAGCAGACTTCCTGCTCCTGGTTCACTCAACTTTTTGTCCTGAGTGCTTGGGCCAAATGATGCTCGGCTCTCCTTTGGTCTGGTGCTGGCTGTCTCCGGTCATGGATGGTACGCACCACTAGAGGGTTATCCTGTTTTTCGGTAGCCAGGTGAGAGAGAGAGAGAGAGCAGAGGATGGACCAGAACCCCACAACCTCTTGCAATGACTCCCTTTGATAATATGTTCTGCACCCTGGGCTGTGACTGATCATTGATACTTACTGCTTAATTTCCAGGCCTGCGTTCCTCCCAGATCCCAATGATGGTAGCCTCTATACCCTTGGGGGCAAGAACAATGAAGGCCTCACGGTGAGTGTATTTTCTTGCCTTGTCCACTCCGGATGTTCTAGACCAGTGGTCCTGGACAGTACCTGCATGTTGGGATCATCTGGGTCCCTAAACACAATTCGGAGGTTCTGGTTGGGCAGTCTGCCGTGGGGCCTGGGCATCAGTATGTTTTCAGAGCTTTCTGGAGGAGCTTTTAAATGTGAACCAGAATTCAGAAGCACTGATCTAGGCCAGCAGTTTCTCGTGGCCTAACCAACACCCTGGAATGTGATGTAATGCTTCCTCCTTTCAGTAACCAGGTTCCCTCTGACTAATGAGCAGCAAATGGAAAGGTAGGCAGATATCCACGGGGACTTCAAAAAGCTCCTGAAGAATTCTGTTATCTTTTAATTCCATGTTTCCATGAAATTTTGAAGCCTCACTCCTTGGTGGAAAAGCTGTTCCCCCAGCATATAATCCCTTAGGAAGAAGCTGTGGGATAGTACACACACACCTGAGACTCGAGCCGGGGTTCTCAACTACAGTGACCTGGGGAACACACACACATGCTAAAGCCAGATCCGGATCCCAGAAGGCACAATCAAATTGATCCAGGTTAGGAGAATGTCAAAAAAGCTTCCAAGAGAAGAGAGGTTAGAAGCAGATCCACACTTAGGATCACCTGTTGATGACAAAGATAACCCTGCAGGCCGTGGGAGAAGGGGGACTTCTCAGTAAATAAAGTGAGCCACTGGGCATATACATGTAGAACAAGTACCCTGACCACACCTGGCTCACACCACACCCCAAAGCAGCTCCAGATAAGATGTTGCAGATTGACAGGTGAGATGTAAAACAATAAAGCTTTAAGGACAAAGAAACAGAACACCTTCACAACCTCTGAGCAAGTAAAGATTCGTAAACAGGACCCATACACACACACTGAGGGCGGGACAGTGGGGTAGGACAATAACCATAAAGGAGGAAATGGACATATTTGGATTATAATAAAGTTGACAACTTCTCTTCACTAAAAGAGACCTTAAAGAGTAAAAGGTAGACCATAAAGTCTTCACAGCACATGGGAGTATCCAACATGGGGTTCATGGGCCTGTCCTGATACACATTTATATTACAGATCATGAGCTAGACAACCCAATAGAAAAATGGCAAAAAAGGACCTCCACAGGGCTGGTAAACACGCAAAAAGGCCCTCAGCTTTATTAGCCACAGGAGATGTCGAATAAGGTCCCGGTGCTTCTCGCCCGCGATGGCGGAAATGAAAACGAGTGAGAGGACCAGAAGCCTGGTTGCTGGTCGAGGTACAAATAGGTACCACCGTGTGGAGAACAGTCTGGCTGTGTCTGCGAAGGCCTTTTTGACCCCACAGTGAGAGGAACTGACAAGGGCTGCAGCAAGGCTTAGTGGGGGTGGGTAGGGAGGCAGAACCAGGCACCGTGCCGAGAGCCCGCTGTACACAGCATGGGCACAACAAGGTCGCCGTGAGTCAGCATCAGCACTGTCACCTTACAGCACCCGTTCCCTCCTAGGATGTTCCCCAGAGCACATGCACTAGAACACGTCACAAGTCGCCCCACGAAAAAGTAGGAACTACCCAAATGCCCATCATCAGCAGACTGGGCAGAGAGATGGCAGAGTGGTCCCCGGTGGAATACTGCACAGCAATGAGAAAGGACTGCCTACAGCTATTCCCCACAGCAGAGGTTAATATCACAAACCTAACATTGAGCCAGAGATGAGCAAAACTGGCTACACGCTCGCCGACTCGTTTATATAAAGCTCAGAAATGGGAAGAATTCGTCTTTTCAGTCTTGAAGTCAGGCTAATGGCTCCCTGGGGGGCTATGGCTGGAGGAAGGAGAGAGAGGGCTCTCAGGCTGGATGTGTTCTGTTTCTTCATCCGAACTCAAGTTACCTGGAGGTGCTCACCTGGTGAAAGCCACCTGAGCAGAAACCTTTTGTGTTTGTGTGCAATCCACCTGTAGAAAATTTGGAAAACCTACAAGATCAGCCCATGTCTGAACCCGGAGGGGAAGGCCAGAGCAGCACACTTTGGAGTTGAGCTCTGCAGATGGCTACCTCCCAAAGGGCCCTGGCTGCGCACTCAGCTGCTAACTGAAAGGCTGCTGATCCGAACTCACCCAGAGGTGACTGCTCTCAAACACAACAGCCTCGGAAACCCCAAGGGGCACAGTTCCACGCTGCACGCCCAGGGTTACCGCTAGTGAGAATCCATTCCGTGGCACCTGGCTTGTTGGGTTTGTTTTCCTACTTGAAGACACCCTGTGGTTGGAAGGGGTGCCAGCACACACATACACCCCCACTAATCACAGGTTCAGTAGGCACAATTGTACATTTGAAATACATTAAAGTCATAGAGAGCATGAGAGAGAAGAGAGTCAAATAATGGAGTCAGACACATTTCATGGTAGCATGCTCACCTCCTGGATGGCCATGATCCTACCGACCAGGTCCCCACACAGCGTGGGCCAAGGTGAGGTGGGGCATAGACCCTGCAGGAGGCTCAAGGGCCCGGCTTATTGCTAACCAACCGTTATATCTCCTTCAGGAGGCATGATTGCAGGTAACCGCACGTCACAGGAAGGGACAGTACCATAGGCATACACACTATAGGAAGGGGATGAGCTAGGGCTGTACACATGATAGGAAGGCGAGGAACTAGAGGTATACTGTACATGTGACAAAAACGGTGGACCCTAGATTCATGATGGCCTAACTTTGGCCACCCTTGGGTGGACTTGACCTCTCTGGGGTCTCCTACAAGAAAACAGTCAACTACTATCCTTATCAGAAGGGAGTGGGCCCTACTTGTGGGATAAACAGTGGTGACTGCTTGCTCTAGATGGCTGATAACCCTTAGGGAGAATGACCCCTGATCTACTTCTGATGACCTCCGAGTGTGTAGTCATTTGCAAGCAGCTATATTTGGGGGAAACAACTTGGGAGAAATCCTTCTGTTTCCCACAACACCCCCCACCCCAACATGTACAGCTCCCCAAGTTGGGGGTTAGCATTTCCAGGCACAAGAGTCTAGAGTTAGGCCTTGAGGGAGACTTCTAGCAGCTCAACAAAGACCACCGGGCTTCAGAGAGGAAGGTTTGCCACTGCCCTCTGCATCTCAAGCACCCAGCACAGCCCCCAGTCCTTACAGCTCCTCTGTGACAGCTTTCCTCCCAAGGCTTAGTTCGAATGCCCAGTGATGGGGATGTCTGAGTCATTGACTTCTCTGCTTTTTTGTTTGTTTGTTAAATACTCCTACATCTCTTATCACAAGCCATATGTTCATCCATTGTGTCAAGCACATTTGTACATTTGTTGCCATCATCATTTTCAAAGCATTTTCTTTCTGCTTGAACCCTTGGTATCAGCTCCTCATTTTTGCCCCACCTTCCCTCCCTCCCTCCCTCCCTCATGAACCCTTGATGAGTTATAGATAATTCTTTTCATACCTTGCATCATCCTCTGTCACCCCTCACCCACTTTTCTGTTGTTCGGCTCCCTGGGAGGAAGTTATATGTTGATCCTTGTGATCGATTCTCCCTTTCTCCTCCCACCTTCCCCTTATCCTCCTGGTATCTCTGTCCTCATTGTTGGCCCTGAGGGCTTTATCTATCCTGGATTCCCTGTGTTGCAGGCTCTTATCTGTAGCTGTGTGCATGTTCTGATCTAATCCAATTTGTAAGGTAGAATTGAGGTCATGATAGTGGTGGAGAGGAAGCATTAAAGAAGTAGAGAGAAAAGTTGTGTGTTTCATCTGTGCTATACTACACCCTGACTGGCTTGTCTCTTCCTTGTGACCCCTCTGTGAGGGGATGTCCAATTGTCTACAGATGGGCATGAGGTCTCCACTCCATGCCGCCCCCCCAATTCACCTTGGGTATGGTTTTATCCTGGGT